TTAATTTTATCTGAAGGTTTCATTTTCCAATATATAAGAGATGGAAACAAGGAAAGAAGTAATACTTCTTCTCCCTTAAGCTTGGAAATTGTAATTAAATCAGTTTTAATGCTTGAAAAACATTTAGGAATAAAAGATTATACTTCAGAAATCTCTTCGCTTTTTCCTTTTAATTTCGCCCTCAATTTAAATAAGAAATATTTCATCATCTCTCTATAACCAGTTAGATTTTTAATTCTTTATTCCAATTTTCTGCTATAATTATCGAACAGATGATTTGTAATTCTACCATTCTCCATGTATATTTCTAAGAATAATGAAATGAATATATTACGGATAAGAAATCTTTTCACTAATTGCTTTGGACTGAAATAAGTAAAATAAATTTCTTTTTAAAATTTAATTAGTTCGGAGAATCACCCTAACAATCGGAAGACTTCCCCGTGTAATATTTAAGTCGCTTGTATTGGGAGATTTAGTAATTTATCGTGTTTTTGCACTAATCGGTCATGTAATTTTAAATAAATTTTTACTTCTTGACAGACCTTCAGAAATGCATGAATATCTTTCTCGAGTGATTTATTTTTCTTTATTTCGAGTGTTTGATTTCTCTTAGACGGAGATTCTCAAATCTAACAGGCTCTTAAAATCCTTTGTAATTATTTGTTATTCTAGTTCGCATTTCTTTGGCGATACTTTTTTGCTTCCTGGAAACAAGCATAAAAAAATTAATTACATCAAATTAATTTTTTTCCATGTCCTTTCATTATAGGAACTCTTATATATATGCCCAAATGTTGCCTTGCTATGTCTTATTATATCTTGTTACACATTTTTGTGCACCCCATAACATTTCGATATTCTATGTACAAGTCTTTTAAGATGGATAAGTAAATTACATTAGTGATTTACAGTTTGATTAACATACATGTAACATAGCTGACAAGATTCCCGATTTTTTTCAATACATCTCCCGGCAGATCACCGAATCTCTCATTTTGCATTTTTGGACATTACCAAGGAAAATGTTTCTCAGCAATAAAAGAAATTTATTGAATTAATGAAATTTAAATTTTGCAAATTCCATTTCAAAAGCAATGATGATAATAACCAGCATAGTTTTCCTTTTTCAATTTTATTAAATCTGAATGACTTAATTTACTGTAGACAGTTGTGGAAACTTTTATCAAGATCCAAGCAATGTTTAATTGGTTAATATTTGTATTTAATTTGTTTTACATCAATATGTATTGTAGCGAAGCGGTATCTTAACTTTAAATTAATAAATCTAAGAATACATCAATGCGAGTGGACTATAAATTAACCTTTATTCGGCAGTTTGAGCTTTCGAACACAACACAGCACAAAGTAAAGCGACAGAGTTACAATTAACGGTTTTAAGAATGCAAGAACAAAATGCGAGCTGCGCATACAATCTGCGCATTGCGAAATAATATCTCACAGACAGGCAAAGAGCTGTGGTGGCCGAAACATGTATTATATTAGTAAGTTATTCTGTTTAGTATATCCTTTAAGTATTAATTTTATTGTCATCGTATTTTGAAATACTTTGATAAATAAAAGTTTTCCTTCCTTATTCTGCATTTTCTCAGTATAAATTTGTAAAAAAAAATTGCAAAATGTAAAACACATAAAAATTTGGAATATTTGGTACTTACGTATTTTCCCATCTGCCAGGAAATTCACAGAAGCTCAACAAGCCTGTGTTAATCATTCCGATGCAAGTTTGACACTATAGATACTTGTTTAATCCGTTAAGTAATCAAGAGATACAGATCTGCTTATGTATAACACAAAAAACTTAAATAAATATGAGCTTACGCCAGTCGTTTCAGTAAACGTTCGGACAGAACAGATCGCCTTCATTCAGTGAGATGTTCAACTGGTAAAGTAGTTCATCACCGAATATGAAACTAAGAGCGAAAATCTTACGAGAGTGTTCCGACTTCATGCTTACACATTATGCGCTCTAAATTACCTTGTTCGGCGATATTTTTTTGTTTTCCGAAAATATTCGAACGAAATTCTTAAGCATCCAATAGTTCATTAAATATTAATATATTTTACATCAGAATTATATTTTAAAAAAAAGTTCAGTAACATTAATAATGCATTAGAAAATGGCATTTAAGTCAATTTTGAGTGCTTTTTAAATAGCATCTGTCCGCAACGTGAAAACCTCTGGCCAATTTCGGCTTTGCATGAAAATCTTACAGTGTTCCATATTTCAAGATTAAGAGTTAATGGCATCATCTAAACGGCAGACAGCTATACCTTGCATTCCCGTATCATTTTGCTGGAATTTAGTAATTTATCGTGTTTTTATGTCTTCTAACAGTAATGTAGCTCCAAATAATTTTCACGTCTGCTTAAGAGATTATCAGAAACACATAAATTTATTTCGAGTAATGATCTTCCTACTCCTTGTTCTGCCATCCTTGAATCTAGCCGGCTAATAAAAACTTTGTTGATATCAATAGTTGAAAAGGATATTCTGTGTAATATGTGGGACTGAATAATTACTAAATATACACTAATCCAAATGTGGCATCGAACCTGCTTTCCAAAAAATCGTTAACGCGCCTTTGAATTCTCTGTTATTAACTCCATTAAACGTTTTCCAATTCCATAAACATCATGTAGGAGTTACCAAAATATGCATATAAGAGTTACCAAATTTACTGCCAAAATATCATGACCAAGAAAACGTCTGCCCGAATAACAATTAAGTATGAAAATGTCCTTGTAATGCGCAATGGTATTTCATCTTTTCTTCATTTTGTGCATTCATTAAAGATACGTACGAAAATAAATATATTTTCTTTTAGATAATGCAGCCCTATTTGACACTTTGCCAAAGCACTTCGATGCATCTAGTCGAGATTTCTGGTAGAAAAATATGAAGCTAAGGAACTCATTTACTAATTGATTTAGCTAGTTTGTATAATGGTATTTTTAATGCACAATTTAATTAGATTGTGACTGAATAATTATTTTTCAATTATTACGCTATAAAGAACTGAAGATGAAAATAAATTGTAAAAGGCACTGATAATGTTACCAATTTTTGGTAAATATATTGAACTGACATAAGCCTTTTTGTGTTAAAATAGCCATCTAGCGTGGAAAGACAGTAATACCATAAATGCACTCTCAATCAACTTTAAAAACTGTGAAAATGTACATATGGCGAGCTTACTAAAACTAAAATTTTATTTCTAATGAAACAAATGAAACTATAATTTCAGTATCATGAATGTACGATATGTGTACAGTAAATGTTGCTACAGCGTTTCTTACCTTTAAAAAAGATATTGACTATCTGCTTTAATGTAAAATAATGTTCAAAATACTATCGAAATATAACTGAATGAGAATCTTTGAATTTATAAAAAGAAATATTGAAACAAAATCTGGATTTTTGTACGTGAAATCGAGTTGCTTAAATCTGAATTGCTTAGTGGTTCGAAATGCAATCGATGTAAGTTAGATCTAACTATAATGTGTAACTCAGTGTTCTTCAAAAACTGTATCCAAGCTAATATACACCTACTTGCCAATGAATTAGAAACCCAAGATGAGTATTTTATTGGCACAGTCCATGTATTGGCTATGCAGGGTTTTAGATCTTGTAAATTAGATGGAAAAGGAGAAGCTGTCGGGTGCGTATTTCCACCATATCCCACATATTTTCTAAGAGCCGGGCTATGCGGTGGCCAGGAAAGGTGTTGGAAATCAGACTTAAATATAGCAGATTAAGAGCCGGGCTATGCGGTGGCCAGGAAAGGTGTTGGAAATCAGACTTAAATATAGCAAACAATTTTAAACATTTCTAGCACAATGTATAGTTACATTATTGTACATGAAGTATCCGTCGCCATCAGGGTGAAAATGCAACATTCCGAGGTGCACTTGATCGGCCAGTATATCTAGTTAGTATATCATGGCTGTTTGTTTACACTCGAGACACACCAGGGCACCACTTTCATGCCAGCAGAACATACCCCATATCATGATACTCCCACCAGATTCTTGCAAAATGCGAGTAAGGAAGATGGCTTCATGGGGCTCTCTCCAAATTCAACGTTTTCCATCAGTGCAAAATAACGTGTAGCCTGATTCATCCGACCACATTACCCGTTTCCAATTCATATGTCCAGTGTCTTCTTTCCCGACACCACTGCAAACGAATTCTTGCAATGTCGAGCAGAAACTCGACTTCATTCGCATTCCTATCCTCTGCATATCTCTGTGTATGGTTCGAGCTGAAATTTGTTCGGAAGAGTCCTGGTTGACGATCTGCGTCCGTATAAGCACAGTAAACGAACTGTGCTTCAACGGTCCGTTTACTGTGCTTCAACGGACACAGTAAACGGACCTGTTCTGCCGTAAAATTTGTCGAGTCGACGCCGATCACTTTCTTGGAAAACTGTGCTCGGCCCGCAGTTACGTCTTCTAGAGGAGGACTGTTGGTTCTGACTCCAACTTTTAAAAATCTTTGATATGGCTGCTTTTGAGATTTACCGTCTTCAAAATCGAGGTACCAACAATAAGCTCTTTTTCAAATGGTGAAAGATCTCTCGTTTTTCCAATTTTCCAGAATTCATCGTGAAAAGCACTCTTACAACTTACTTATACCACCATTCTAACCATGTGTAACCCACGTCATAAAACAAATTTGCATAATTCACCCCTAGCACGCATTCAAATCAAAATCTCGAAGGTTTCTAATTCATTGGCCATTGTGCGTATTTCTTGGAGTATTGAATTTGCATTTTACTATACTTGTTACTTAAAAAGAAGAATTACTATTATTAAAATATATTTTACATATAAATTCTATTGTAAACTTTGCAATTTTACCAGTGTTTCTTCTTATAGTAATAAGTTTAGAATTATTAATATTTCAATTCATACAAAACTTAAAACATTTGCTGTCATTCAGGTATCGTAATATGTTTCTTTTTTTCGTTTTGCAGAAACTATTGATCCCCATAGTACGAGCACAGCTAAAACTGCCCATGAAGGTAAATATGTCTTCTCATGCATTTTGTTAAAATGATCTTACAATCAGCAATATTCATTAAAAAGTTACTTACTTATTGACCTATCGAGCGTGAAATTTGCGCCAGATCCTACCAAAGTGACGTAAATCATTTATGCAGAATTCGGAAGGAACTGAATCCCCTTTATTTAATAAGCGATCAGTTTCGGAAAAAAGCTTTATGCCCTCCAATTTCAATGGAAGCTCTGCTTAGAACGCTAAGCTAATTAGCTAATGCCTCCTAGGCCTTACTAAGCTAATTCAGCTAATGCCTCCTAGGCAAAAGACATGACTAACGGTTAATTGAAGTTCCGTAGGGATAAACAGGAGGCAAGTCGGAAAGAGGAGACAGTTGTCTCATAAGCCAGGTAATTATCAGTGTTGTTATAAAACATCTCAGAGCACGCTTCCCTGTTAAACCAGAGATTTACTCAAACTAGGTATCAAAATTGTTATCTTTAAGAAAATGCTCTGCAAATAGCCCGATGTTAAAATTCTCCAAGAAAATCTCATTGTTTAAAAAGGCGGCGAAATTGCCCTCATGAAAACGTAACTTTTCGAGATTACCTCTGACAAAAATGTTATGAGTAAGTTGTTATGTCACGCTTATCCATAACTGGCTCCCTAAAGCATGCTGCTTGGCTACAGTTTCACGGTCGTGGGGAAGTACGTTTAAGTGCTAAAATATTGGAATATACTATGTATAGGACATTTTCTGGCCCTAACATAAAATAATAGATTATTTGCTTGTCCGAATGCTGTTTTCTGGCTCTGTTTTAAAAAAGATATTAAAGAAATTTTAAAGGTAATTTCTGAACTCTTATACACAATCAGAATTTACTCATTTTTCATGTTGGCTCGTTATTTGATTGCATATTCTTGCTTTACTATGATCGTCAATGTGAAAACAAGGAGTTATTCAACTGAAAATGGCAAATGGCAAATTAATGAAGGAATTAAGTAGTGATTAGTATGAAATTAGTGACAACTCTACATTTTTCAATACTTTGGAGAATCAAATGTATCAGTAACAGAAATAAGAATAATAAATATAAAGAAAAAATGACTAAAAATCAACGTTGCTTAACAAAATATAGTTTTGGAAAACTGTTTTGTTTCTTTCAGGATTTTTTCAGAATTGTTCTCGATGCATAAAATAAAATTACTGAAAAACTGTATACGCTACATGATTGAACGCAAAACACGTAATATTGTTCTATGTAGTTAGCAGACTATTTTATTATTGCTTATGAGTATTACAAAAATATACAACACACAATAAATTTTTATTTAGTTTCTGATTTTTCTTCTGGACACTTACGTATTATCCCGTCGACCATTGTCGAAATTTCCGGAACTGTCGTCAGCTGTCCTTCGTTACTGCGGAATTCTAAACAATAGGTCATCCGTAACTGGTGCTAAATTGCCCTACTTGGCCGGTCGACAGGATAATACGTTAGTATCTTTTCTCGTTTCATTAGCGTATATTTGAGTTTTAATTTTTAATTTACTTTTTGATATTAAGACTAAATAATTAAACATTTTGTTTATAAGTAAACTTATAGCAACGTAACTGTATAGAAAATCCAGGTAAGGCAATTAGATAGGAATGTATTTTGTGTAATAGGCTTAACTATGAAAGTTGCCTGATGACACATCGACACTCAGCGGTCTGCGATCGTGTGTACAAGCGGATTTGTGAATTTGAGTACGATTAAACACGCGTTCTTTATTTGCCTAAATGGAGGGCTGCCATTATGAAAGACTTAGATGTAGGGTAGATGACTTAGATGAAAGATATGAAGGGATATTTCTTACTAAGAAGTTTCCATAGTTCCTCTGATCGAATCGAAAATGTTAAATGTATCCCCAAACAATTTATGTAGCTTTAAAAAAATCTCATAATCATTGTGAAGGTAATGGAATTATATGTATAACAAATATACTACATTAATACATCATTCACTTTCTAAAATTAGAGTTAATGGCAAAATGAGTAATATGAAATGAAAGGGAAGTGTTGAACTCTCTTAGACAATCCAGACAATTGAAGTCCGTCATCAGACAGAAACCACACGAAGACATTAATAGCAATATATTTGTGATGGAAGCCTTAGTCTTTGGGTTGAGAACTCGGTTAGTTGTCGGCACTGGAAATTTTGTTATAGATTTACACCTTTCATAGAACAACTTGGATTCGTGACGAAACTGAAACATTTTAGTAATGTTTGCCAATCTGGCACAGGACCAGCCTGAACTCGTATAGGAATCACATGGTACCTGATAGCAGGATCACCCATCGCCAACTACTGTATTACATTCATTTCAGTTTCAAATGCAAGACATTTTGTATGTTTTTATACAATTGGGTTTGTATTCGGTTGACCCGTAGGTTCTGGCGGTTTTTTTAGGTATAGGTTTCCACAAAAATAAATAAGAAATGAAAACAAATCAATCAGTAATGTATATTCTCCGTTGGGTTTTACAACTTCTTCCCAACTTTCAGCAAGCTGTTCGGTAGATCAACCGATGGTAGAAGCAACCGTCTCTGAATAGCTTAAACCAATTTTGAGTTGTCCTAAGAGGCATCGCTTCTTCGCCATGAACTGTGCAAATCTCTCTAACAACTTCTGTCACTCTAGCAACTCGATTAAAAGCAAAAAGCAGAAAGTGTCGAAAATGCTCTTTTTTGTCAACTCCATTTTAATAGCATGAAAACAAAACGTGTCTTATTATAAAAACATTAAACACACTATTTTATAGAGCACATAATTCCCCATCGAATAACATACAATACATTGCCAAAACATTATTTTTCACGTCTTAACGTTTTTTAAATTTCACTTAAAAAACGTCAAGACTTATGAGCCAACTCATGTCTCAACTCAATGTCTACTTTTTTTATTTTACTTTCTTTACTTAAACTTTTCCCTTATGCTTGATTTTAAAGATACATCGGCTTCACAATTTGTTTATCCCCGCTTTCTCCCTTTTAATGATGGCTAAGTAAAGCTCTATATACGTAGTCTCTGTAACATGGATATAATTGAGGTTCTAATAAGAGCCACTAAAATTGCTAGTGTTAAAACTAGTATATTAGCTATATCAAAACATATCACACTTTGGTTGGTACGGACGGGCTTCAGCGACAAGGAAGCAATCACCCAGAATGCTCGCACGTAAATTTTATATCTTCACTTCGTTACCTACTATGTTCACACTTTATGCAGATTTTCTGACTTAATTTTCAGCTCCATGGCAAATAAGAATGAATATAAATTTATAGCAAATCATGTATGAAATTAACTTGATATTATTAATTATTAGTCTAAATCAATTGCTTCTGCAAATAAAATTCTTGGTGTGAGATCGAAATTAAATTTTTAGCTATTCATTGGCTGTCCACAATTTCTTCTAACGGTGAAAATTTGAAACTGCGCAAGAAATGAGTCTTACATCCATTTAAATAATACCTTGAAATCATTTGTTGAAGTCCAGTTCCAATAATGAAGTTCATACCCTTTTTCTTTTCTACAATTACTCAATTTGTAAAGTGGCTAAATTCTTCTAAGTTTCTTTTATATATTAGAAGCTTTGCCACAGTGGTAACATCATACGTTTGGTTTTATACGTTTGGTCATCACCTTGGAGCTGACTTTCAGTTCATTGAATTTATGAACAAAGTCTATAAGATAAACGGTTTTTAATTTTATCCAAGTTGGCCAGTAAAGTGGCATTTTTGTCTTCAAAAATCTCTAGAATAAAGTTGGAAAACTCGGAAGAAAATCCTCAAACAGATTCCTGTTGATATAGAACGCGCTTTCTTAGAGTTTTCCATGCAACCTCTCATTCCAAAAATTAATTCCGATTTAAAATTAGCCAAAAAACAAACTTAGATGTAGATATTGAATGCAACTGTATCAATTTCAAAATTTATTTTGAAAATTTATTTAGATGCATATAAGTGCGTCTTCACGAGCGAAAACATTTCTGGGGAAATAGGAGGAGGATAACCATTTTACTATATCAAAAGCATTGCGTGAAGCAAAGCGAAACAAACGTAACGTCACGCATTGAGGAAAATGAAAAACCCCACAAATTAATAAAATTTGTATTTTGCTATTACTCTTGCACTACTAAAAAACTTTCCTACAGATCTTAAGCGGATAAAATCTTATCTTATTCGCTTATAAGTCATTGTGTGCATAGATTTTGTTCACGCCTGTCACGATATATCAAAGGGAACAGTTTAGGCATGGTAAAAAACGAGCTATAATTTAATGTTTGTTGACGGTTTATAAAACAGTGAACGTATATAAGCAAACTGTATTCAGAAAATGTATAATATTTTTAATAGTTCCTTAAACAATGTCAATAAACTTATTTTCCTGTTGTCAAATCTTTCGATCAAATTATATTATTTCTAATAATCGTAAAACTGCAAATTTTTAGGGGCATGTTAACAATTCATGATAATGCAGTAATTAAAAGTATTATCACTCTCCTATACAACTACGAGCTTGGTTTAAAAAATACACGCAAAACAAAAGCTTTTTGATTTAACCTGTCTTTGCTCTCGACGTTCGTCGATTATTTTCAACTAGCTTCTCACAAAATCAGGCCATAAATCAAGACAACTAAGAAAACTTTTTATGACTTCACATATCAGTTGTGAATAAATAATATGTTCTTGCAAAGGTAAATTGAGACATAACTGGAATACTACCATACATATTTTATTCTTTTTACCGCACACTGTTTCCTATATATCCCTCCCCACTTGGAGTTTCAATGGCCCACTTAAACGGCTTCAGTGACCACTGGCGGGGGAGGGGGGTAGTATCACAAACGTTGCGAATTATTTGTTTAAATTACTTAAATCGATGACCGATAGCGACAAACCATTAAATACGGTAATAATTGAATTTCAGAGAAATTGATCAAGTAGTTAATCTATTCATTTGAATACCTAAAGTAGGAGGG